GTCATGTATATTTTCTAAATTTATGTATCACACCAATATCAGATGATAAGAATAAAGTAAAAATAAATTTTAACGTCTAAATGTGCATTTTCAAAATTAAAATGTTAATTATTAATTATAAATAAAAATTAAAGTGTTAATTATTAATTATAAATAAAAATTAAAGTGTTAATTATTAATTAATAATAAAATAAAGATGTATCCTCTATATAAAGAGTACTTTGGGAGCCTAGTAATTAGGGGGGTTGCATATATTGAATCATTAGACAAACAGACATCAAACTAATTTGACTTTTTGATTTTGATTTTTTAGTTTCACAATTCAGTATCAATGGGTTTTTTTTCTTTTCAAATTTTAGATCTTCAGTGTAAGAATGTTGAAACTTCGTTACATCGAAGAATTAAGCTTTTACTATTTTTCAAAAAAATAAAAATGATATATTTTCTTAATTAAAAAAAAGTCAATTAGCAATAAAATCATTCATGAACAAATCAAGATAGCAACATATTGACAATTCAAATAGTTAACTTTGAATATTAATTTTGAAGAGGAACCTTAAAGTATTTTTTTTAAATATACGTCATGTAAATGAATTCGTCTTCGTCCTTATTTCCATCGAGCCATAGTTGGAGGCACACCATTCTTTACAAAGACAAATATAGTCTTTTAAGCACAATACGTCTCTTAATGAAACACATTACTCAACATGATTTTAATTTTTTCGATATCTTATAAATACTTTGATTTTATCTTATTTTATTTTTCAATTGCAGCATACAAATCATTTTAAAAATACAGAGTAAATCAAATTAATTCAATTCAACAATTGATTCATATTTTTTCAAAGTCAAAAATTAAAGAATCGAATAAAAATTTCATAAATCGAATAAAAGAACCCTTAGCTTGTCCCTACATTTGCTCAAAAGACAAAAATACCAACACTACCAGCGCCAAGATTCACAGGACTTTTAAAAAAAAAGTGACAATAAGGTTTCAAAATAAATGGGTGGTGATATAAGTCTTAAGTATTGGGTATATGTGACATTATGTGATTAATGATTAAGGATTGTGGAGTTGCCCTCAAGTTTATAAGTTGACAGTTTGATCCATTGAATTAAATGAAGGGAAAAATGGTAAATTGACTAAAACCTAATTTAACCAATTGTGGTGGGATTTAAAATTGGGGGAAGCCACCAGCAAGTTGTACCAAAAGAGGAAATAAAATATTTTTCTTCACCTCTCGTCATATTTTTTTCTTCCTCTTCTTCTTCGTCGTTCTTGCTTGCTTGCTTGTCTTTATTCTCATTCTCTTTATATTTTTCTTCTTCTTTTTGTACATTACTGGTCTTGGTTGCTAATCCTTGAGCTTTCTTCTTTTCTTCTTCTTGAATCAGATTTAACAAATTTAATCAGTGGATTAGATTTTGCTTGCTCTCAATTGAAATTACTTCATAAATGATTAGGGTCACACACCATTGTTTTGGTATGTAAAATTAATAGTTCTTTGAAATCATTCATCATTATTTGGGCACCTGCAATTTTGTCAATAATTTGCATTCGCGTTTCCAACAGATTGCTATATGTTGCAACAATTGACTATTAAAACAAATTATAGCCATATGTAGCAACAAAAAGGTTATTTCAATAACAAAAGAATTGACAGATGTTGCAATAACTTACACAAGCTGCAACATATAGGCTAGACATGTAGCAACATATGACTTACATGTCGCAAACGACATGATAGTTATATAATACCCTTGTAAATCATTGTTTCAAGTGTTATATCATATTTTTATTGCTTAATTATGGTTAAAAGTACTAAAATTTTATCCATTTTGACATTTTTTTCATTCCTAAATCGCTCAATTTATCGATTAAGTCATCTTTGAAGTGACATATGTGGCAACATATGCACGTTCTGTTCGAAAAATTGCAACAGAAATGTCACATGTGGCAACATATGTATATCATAAAATGATCTTTTGGGGATTAATTCAATTAAATTGTCACCTAATTCAACATGTAACACTAATATATAGTCATACAATATGTTTAAGTATAAAATTATGGTCTAAATACAACAACCTTCATCAATTCTATCAATTATTTTTGCAAAGACTATTATTTACCCCTAGTTCATCATACAATGACCAAGTAACTACATATGATAGTTATACAACACCCTTTCCTTATAAATGGTTGTTTTAAGTATTATAACATATTTTTATTGCATAATTATGGTTCAAATTACTAAAATTTGGTCTAATTCACATTTTTTTCATTCTAAATTACTCAATTTATTGATTAAGTCATCATTGAAATGACATATGTAACAACATATGCACGTTCTGTTAGAAAAATTGCAATGTCATATGTGGCAACATATGTATATCATAAAATGGTCTTTGAGGGCTTGATTCAATTAAATTTTCACCTAACTCAACATGTAACATTAATATATAGTCCTAAAACATGTTTAAGTACAAAATCATAGTCTAATATAATAACCTTCCTCAATTCTATCAATTATTTTTACAAAGATTATCATATCAGTAATTCATCATACAATGATCAAGTAACTTCATATGACAGTTATATAACATCATTGTAAATCGTTAATCCAAGTGTTATAGCATATTTTTATTGCTTAATTATGGTCCAAAGTACTAAAATTTAGTCCAATTTCACATTTTTCCATTCCTAAATCGTTCAATTTATCGATTAACCCATTCTTGAAGTGACATATGTGGCAACATATGCACATCCTGTTGAAAAAATTGCAACAGACATGTCATATGTGGAAACATATGTATATCATGAAATGGTCTTTATGGGGTTCATTCAATTAAATTGTCACCCAATACAACATGTAACACTAATATATACTCATACAACATGTCTAAGCATAAAAATATGGTCTAATACAACAACTTTCATCAATTAGTCAATTATTTTTACAAATACTATCATATCACTAGTTCATCATACAATGAACAAGTAACTTCATATGATGATTATATAACACCTATGTAAATTGTTGTCCCAAGTGTTATAACATATTTTTATTTTTTAATTATAGTCCAAAGTATTAAAATTTGATCCAATTTGACATTTTTCCATTCCTACATCGCTCAATTATCGATTAAGTCAACCTTGAAATGACATATGTGACAACATATGCACGTATTGTTGAAAAATTGCAACAGACATGTCATATGTGACAACATGTACATCTTAAAATGTATTTTTTTTCAGATAATATTTCAAAAGGAATAACAACCCAACCATCCTACAAACAAATAAGTGATAAAAATCACTAAAAAATTTCTCATTTAATGCCAATAACTATTATATGTTATCTTAGAAGATATCAACGATAAACTAGAAATGATGAGGGCAACGACGCTTTGTTGTAGAAGAAAATCGCAACATATTACCACTAATGTTATAGAAAACATAGCAACAATTTGAATTGTAAAGAAATAATGGAATGAGAGAAAGGAAAGAGAGTAAAGAAAATGAAAATTAGTAAAAATAAATTAAATTTGAAATATGAAAAGAAACGACCCTTTATAGAGGAGAGGAGAGAGGGAAAATGAAAGGAGGATTGTTTTAGATATTTTTATTTTATTTTTTAAATTTTTTTGATAATTCATAGTGTGACATTTGTTGCCACATATATCCTTTCTGTTGGGGTACATGCAGATAATTTATAGTTTTTTTTACAACAAAGGTTATATATGTTATCACAGACACCACATTGATAACAATGAAATGTTGACATATATTGCCTTTCTGTGACATATGTTGTTACATATCTTTTTTTTGTGACATATGTTGTCACATATCTTTTTTCTGGGACATATGTTGTCACATATCTGCTTCTTTCTGTGACATATGTTGTCACATATACTCTTTCTGTTGGGGCACATGTAGATAATTTTGTAGTGTTTTTTATAACATAGGTTATGTATGTTGCCACATACGCCACATTCTTCTTTTCCATCATAATTGACATTTGTTTCAACAAAAATCATTAATATTATCAGCAAAAATAAACTTCACCAATTGTTATATACAACTTATCCAAAAAAAAAAAGTAATTCACAATGGTATACATAACCATCAATCTAATCAATGGTGGATATTGTTGCTTCACATCACAATTGACGACTTCGACTTTTTTCTCTGTCTTTCGCTTTCTTTTTCAATTTCTCCTTCTCCATCTCTAGATCCTTCTCCTTCTCCTTCTTGTTCTCCTTGCCTTTTGGTTTTGAGTGTGATACAGAGCAGTAGTCATGGTTTTTTTCTTTCATTAATTATAGATAGTGATTGAGAAATAGATTTTTTCAATCTCCTACATTTCAAATATTTGTGGACAACTGAATAAAACTATATTTCTTAAACCATATGAATAAAATGGTCAAAAAAAGAACAACAAAATTAAATTCTCACTCAAGTTAACATTACATATACATTTTCTCAAATTATGTCTTTTTGGCTTTGTTAATTTTCTTTCTAAAACAATAAATAATAGGTATCATTACACTATTATTCAGTTTTCACATCTATAGAACGATTTATTCTTCATTAGCCCAAGAAAAAAGCTTTGTATTGTTTCAAAATTATAAAATTTCAACAAAAAAAAAGAGTTATCCATTTTAAGTCAAACACAATCTTCAAATCAGAAAAAAAGAGAGAATTACAATCAGAGATGAGAAGAAAGATAAGATAATCGGAGAAAATATGTATTTTGATAATTGGATTTTTAGATTTTCTAATGATGAAGAAGAAGAGAAGAGAGAGCATTGAGAGAAGAAGAAAAAGAAATATTTATTTTCATTTACTGTTTTTTTTTTTTTTATAAAAATGAATTGAATAGAATTATAAATTGAAAAAATAAAGTATTTTTTTGTATTTTTATAAAAAAATTAAAAAAATTTAATAACGTTAATTTGATTCTAAATTTACTTAATTCCATTTTAAAAATAATTCGAGCCTTTCATTTCACTGTATTTGGGGTTCTTCCATCAGTAGAGACTAGAGAGTAAAGGGAAAAGAGAAAATCCATGGAAGCCCCTAAATCTGCGCCACCCCAAAGCCAAAATCTTCCTCCTTCTCAGCCACCCATGAACAGAAAGAGGCCACTTGACATCTCCAAGTCACAAAATTCCCCTTACAACAAGATGAGACTCATTGTTAAAGATCTTCGACCCCATGTTATCGAGGTACACTTGTAAGAAAATTTCTGTATAAATTGACTTGCTTTTGACTCTTCTTCTTGTTATTGCTTGTGGGTGTTTTTCAATTTATGGGTTTTCGAATTAAATTTCTCTGAGAATTGAAAAATCTCTGAAAAAACTTGACTTTGTTTTGACTGTTCTTGTTATTATTGCTTGTGGGTGTCCTTCAATTTGTGTTTTTTCCAATTAAATTTATCTGAATAAACTTGACTTTGTTTGGACTGCTCTTGTTATTTTTTGCTTGTATGTGTTGCTCTTGAGAATTGAAGATCTCTGAAAAAATTTGACTTTGTTTGGACTTCCTCTTTTTTTTTTTGCTCGTGTGTGTTACTCCTGCTTATTAGATTCCTCTGGATATATAATTTTGTATGTTTGCTGGATTCCATTTATACAATGGTCCACATTTTCTGTTCAATGCTAGAGTACAAATTTCGATTTTGATTTTTTTTTCTTCATTTTAAAAAGGTTTTCGAGCTTTGTCGAGGGTAAAGATTTGACCTTTATCATGTTAACTCCATTAATGGAGCTTGTGTATAACACTAAGTAATAGAAATATAGAAGAAGAAGAAGAAGAAGAGTAGAGAAGAAAACTGTATTATTGATTCAACATTTCTGATTACATTTCATGCCTTTAACACTAACAACCTCCTAAAAGACTCTGCTGACTCAGCTTATCTCTAACTAACTTTACTAACTGTATTTAACCATGGTAGCTTGCACTAAGATTAACATCATACTAGGGGTTTTGGGTTTTCTTAGCATTTATGGTGCAAATTATTCCATGGATTCACTAGATGTTGAAAGAAACTATTGTAGCAGCTTTAGTAGTTTTGGTTTATGCAATGACATTTACTAGTATTATATATACTCTGTAAACAAATTGGAAACTTGGGGTTGGGAATAGGCTTCTTCTCGTGGCGGAACCACGAGTTTTACAAAGAGTGTGCAAAATTTAAAGAAACTAACAAAAAATTTCAGTGTATATTCACATTTATCTTGCTCAAGCCAATTACTTTACCATGAGTAATTTCAATTTGTTTTCCACTTGATACAAATCATCTGAGAAAATTCAGTCTGAATCGCTTTTAGTTATAAGAGATACACGGTGAATTATATAAATTGAAATAATGATTTTCTAATGGATGGATGGAGATTTTTCTAAATACATCCAAATATTCATGAAAAAAAATAACACTAATTTATCAGTTTACTTAAAATTTAAGTTGTTTATAATCTATTGATTTTGCTACTTCTTAATTCTAATGGTGTATGTTAAATTTCTTGTGTTTTGCTAGAAAATATGTGAAATTTTTTGTCAAAAGTTTAAATCTTAGTTAGTTCTCTGGATTTACCTATATGACATTCGGGAAGAAATTAACCCCTTATTAACTTTTTTTATTTCGAAACTGTTTATCTACTATTGAGAGAATGGAAAATACAATAGTACATGTGTAATTGCATATAACATATTCTTCTAAATCTTTTGATAGAAACTTGCTTGAAATGTTATTTTATATTCCTTACAAATAAAATACCCAAATTAAAGTTTCAATTAAATCAGAGATTTACTCGAGTGGTAAACACCCTCGACCTCCAAATTAAATATTGTGTGTTCAAATCACCAAGGAAGCAAAAAGATGGAAGTTCCTATTGAGGGTTAAAAAGCAAATCAGAAAAGGGCATAAAATACCCTCAAATTATTGGAAATGGTACAAAATTACCCTCCATCCACCTATTGGCTCCAAAATACCCTTTCCACACACCTATTGGGTCCAAAATATCCTAGTCATCCACCTTTTGGTTCAAAATTGACCACTTATTTAACGGTTTTATATGTAAACTATTTAAATATTTTTTAAAATACGTGGCGCTCAACTATTTGTTATAATTTAACTTATTAGTATAATTTATAAATTAATCCACTACCCATCCATTACTAATTAAACCCTCCAAATTAATAAACCGTCACATTATTAATGCAACAACAGAAAAGCTATTGCCAATTGAGTTTTTTAAAAATTTGAGACGAAAATATCTATGGAAGTAAATTATCATACATTTAAGTGTCTAAATAGAAATTACCGATAAACTTAAAAGGCTGATTATGTTCATCTTAATTATTCTTACGTTTCAATTATGTGATGTTACTTCATAGGTAACTTTTTTTCAAAATAATATATTAAAGGTTTTAAAACAAATTATAAATATTTATAAAATTATATTTAAAAAAAAGTGCATGAATTAATTCGGGATGTATTACTTCTTTACCTTTAATCATAAATTTCTAATTCAATGTTGAAAGAGAATCCTATTGAAAGTGTCCTTCTAAATAAGCGGCTCAACCTAAATTTAATTGGGGCTTCGATTCGGACTCGAATAATTTTGGATGTCATTTTCAGGATAATTTCATTGTGTTTTAGTAGTGTTTATGACGATTTTGATATTATAGTTGGATTATTAATTGTGTGGGTTTAGTTAGTAATGGGTGGGTAGTGGGTTGGTTTATAAATGATACAAATAAATTAAATTATAACCAATAGTTGAGCATCAAGTATTTTTAAAAAAAATATTTAAATAGTTTAAATTTAAAATCATTAAATAAGTGGTCAAGTTTGAACCCAAATGTGGATGACAAGGGTATTTTGGAGCCAATAGGTGGATGAAAAGGGCATTTTGGAGCCAATATGTTGATGAAGGGTAATTTTGTACCATTTTCGATACTTCAATGGTATTTTAGGCCCTTTTCCGACAAATTAATAAGTTGTACTTCCTTCTTCTACTTTTGCTTCTTCAGTTTATTAATCAAGAGATAGTTTATGATTATGTAATTTCTAATTTAATCTTATTATTGACCTAAGTCTTTTTCAAAAGAATTGAAATCATTATATATAATAAGTGATAGAGTAAAATTATCATTTTATTTATTATTTTTTAGAGGTGTGTCAAATCAATAATTGACAAATAAAAATGGATGAAGGAAAGTATTAATGACTTCTTGGAACCATAGGCACCTTGATTTCTGTCTCCATGATGTTTCCTCAGCCTTAGCTAACTGTTGTATCTCCATTTTTTTATTGCAGCAATTTGTTCTTTTATGCTTGAGTCTATACCCTTCTTTCGTTGCCTCTTCAAGAACTAAAGTCTCTTTCAAAGCTTTGTTAGTTCGGGTAGAAACTTTGCTGAAAACCTCCCTGTTCCATGTAATCAAATCCCTTTTCAAAGATCTCAACTTTTGAGAGTGCATGGAATATGGAGAACTATTAACCACTTAGCTTTGCCACCACTGTTTTACCAAGTTAGTAAATCCTTCCTTCTGGAGCCACATATTCTCAAATTTAATATAAGAAGGTTCGTTTGACCAGTCAACACTCTCTAAAGAGATGGGTTTAAAATCAGAAATAACCTTAGGGAGAGCCAATTGAATATCGTTCCACTCCAAAGAAATCAAGAATCTATCAATTCTAGAGGCTTGTAGTTAGTTTTTCCCCTGGCCTGGTAGAGAAGGCCCCTTGCAGTGATAAATCAACTAAGCACATGTCATTAATGAATCAGAGAAGCATTTTGTGGCCCTAGATCTTCTCACACAATTGAGTCTTTCACTTTCAAATCAATTGAAATTAAATTCTCTTCCAATGACCCATTTTCATTCCAAAACCCCCTACACTGGCAAATTCATTCCAGAAATCATCCCTTTCCCAGTTAGTGTGTGGCCCATAGACACAAGTAAAGCAGAATCTGAAATCAGTTTGAACACCTTCCATCATAGCCCACATATTGTGTTGCCCCTGATGTGCATCAATACAACTCCATTGTCTTTTATCCCATAATATAATTATTCCCCTCTATTGCCACTGGCTTTCAGTTCAAGCCATTCAACCAATCTTGAACCCCATAACTATCTAGCTATTTCCACAGAACATCCTTCGATCTTAGTTTCCTGCAAACATAGAATGTCAGGCTTCCACTTATGGATATGCTGGTTCTCTTGCTCGAATCATTGAGCCCTCTTACATTCCAGCTTGTGATCTCAGCTTTCATTCAGAGAAGGCTTTGAGTTGCCCGCCTCTGCTGGATCCTTCACCTCTTCATATGTAATAGTGCAAACCAATTTCTTTGCCTCTGTTTCTCCCTTTTTTTTTATTTCTTAGACTCGCTACTTCTCCCCTTTTGCTGTTGCATTTGAGATTGCATTTTCTGCTCCATAAGTAGATTCATATCGAGGATTTCATGTTCGAAACCTGAAGAGTTCATCCCAAAAGCCTTGCGTGCTTTAGCCTAGGCAGTTTTAGTCCAACACGATGTCTTAATTACGGCTGGAGTATGAATTGCCTGGTGTATATCGTGATCCCATGTTAAATGCAAAGTATCACTACCAAATGAAGGGGAAAAATCAGAACCCTGAAATTGGGAAAGTGAGATTCTTGGTACTTAGAAGGGACAGTTAAAAGTGGCAGGGATTGCACGTACTCTGCTTCATCTGCATCGTCGTTACCCACCATAGAACCATCGTGATCAGCTTTTGAAAGAGGTAGGCAAGTTGTTTATTTCTACATAAAAAAGGTTCCAGCTGGGCCTCTTCACTTTTGTGGACAAAGTGGAGGTTTACTGATAGTGATATTGGTCTGTCCCTTTTGAATACCACTCATGTAGTTGTGGCCTTGTCTTAATAAAATGAGCTTTATACCTTTTCTTTCTACTGGAATAATATAAGTGGTTCACTCTAGGTTGAAATGGACTGCTAAATCTAAACTAATGTCTTTAGCTATCTGTGCCTCGTTAAATGTAACTGGGAGCATTTTATGTGGCAAAAGTTAAGTTCCATCCTATCTCTTGCTAAGAAGAAAATTCTTCACCAATAATTATAGTACAGTTCCAACTTCCACCCGTATACATCGTAAACCATGAAATTCGTACTACAGTCGCCCTCCAGCAACAAAATTTTCCTCCTTAAGAAAAGCTCACTGGAGACGCACCAACAAAACTCTCATTAACTCTATTAGAGCAAAGACCCAGAAATCACCTTCAAACTCCGGACTCCTCTTTTCTGTTATGCTGAAAGCTTGGAAATAGTTGTCTATAGTTGTTTATAGTTGTTCTGCAGAAAAGAGATTCATAGACAAGGAAGCTATTGTTGATTGTTCTTTCAATGAGACTGGAAAATTTGACATAATTTGAGCAAATGTGAGTTGGCAATGTGTGAGGAAATGAAGATAGATGTAGATATCTCAAAAGAAGGAAACAAGTGGAGGAGAAAGATTAAGAGAAGAAATGATTAAGTTCAAACTAAATGTAATTAACATAATGTCCATTTGTAAGATGACACCGGTATAATTTAGTTTTTAACATTTGTTAGTGTATCACACTCTTTTAGATTCTCTGCGATGCTACCTCTCAGGGTGTAATGTTCTCGACCCAAAATCTCCTAGGCTAAGTAATTGATACCTAATTACCTTGAATCGAGTATACCCATTATCAATCAGTTTAAGCATGAAAAATAATAACTGAAGGAACTTAAAGCAGCGGAATAATATTAGGCTAAATATAGCTTTGTGAAGCATAAGCGTCTACAACCCAAACGACGCTAATATAGCTTTGTAGCATAAGCGTCTACAACCCCAAACGATGCTAAGTCTGAACTAATACATACAACACTATCATGGTAGCATCTATAAAGTAATCATGGGACATGCCCGCCTCATAATAACTTTCTAGGATAATTGGAAAAACATAACTAAAGACATCATAGGGAGTATATGGTCAGTTCACCGTTCACCACTGTCTGATTGGGTCAACCTTGTTATCTTCTAGGCGGCCCTCCTGATTTACTGGATATACGCATTTAAGTAGAAACCTTAGACCTAATGGGAAAGTCCAAGGAAAAGTGGAAGCCAAGAAGGTTGCTTATAAATCTAGTCGGTTTTTGTTAGCCGGGTCCAAGCTTAAACTTGAACTTGATTTGCCAGTTGGTTTTTTGTTAGTGCAAACAGTTGGCTGGTTAGATGTTTCTATAAATCCAATCAAAACCATTTCTCCGGAAATGGTTTTTTTGATAGCTTGTCAAACTTAACTCTGATCCTCTTAAGTAAATAACTCTTATCATTGATGAATGGCAGAGAGAATAACTATCTGTACCCCAGACTAATTCTACGTCATAGCAATACACATATGAGAAATGCATTGGGGATTGCCTTTGTCTTGAACTGAGCTGTAAATGGTTTCAAATTACTTATTTGATGTGAGATATTTAACCAGAATAAGGGAATGTCATGTAAAAATGAATATTATGTCATGTTTAATTTGTTACGTATTTATTTTCTCATATCCTTCTCGAGGTAGGGGTAAGGTTTGCGTACACACTACCCTCCCCAGACCCAGACCCCACTTGTGGATTGGGTTTATTTTTGTATTTATTTTCTCATATATTATTTATGATGATGTTTTAAGTTTTCAAGATTCATTTTCCTGTCAAGGAAAAAAGAGGAAAAAGTTCTCTAGATTCATTTTAAAATTCTGAGACCTCATGCAATGTAACTGATAATCAAACATCTAAGGGTCTTATCTGTTAGGACCATATGACACTGGGAAGAATGTTGTATGGGGCAATCCGTGGCCAAAAACCTGTCTGTTCTCTTTGCCTTCATGAATGTTACTTCCTTATAAGAATTGGATGTTATAGGGTCTTACTTTTATTTTTCATCTTGAAGGTTCTCCGTACTCCTGACTTCCGCAATTGCAAGGCTGCTACTGAAATCCGTCAACGTAAGTTTCCTATCAGATTTATTCTTTACAATCTTTTCATTTCAAAAGTTGTCATGAAATAAATACATCACTAAGCTATTAGCAATCTTAAGCCACACTAGTTATGAGATTATTGACATGCTAGTACGCTCTCGTGTCCCTGTTTTGCTGATACCAATATGATGCATTATGTGAAAGTTCTGTAGTTAGTAAGAAATGCACGGCTGTTTGTGGCATTCTCTTCTAGGTTACATCCTGGTTGGAAAAAAAATAGTTTTAGTATGACCTAGTTGGTTGAAGGTGGTTAAACATCCACCCTTACAAACCATTTCTCTCTGGATCTTATGCCTTGTATAATAATTTACGTAGCAGCAGCTTTCATCTATTCATAAAATGCTGATTTTTGTTTTGCAAGATAAACTGATCCGGCAATCTATATAAGAACTTTGTATTAGTGTGATCCATTTGTGCTGGCACGTGGATGTATCATACTTGAACAATGTTTAAATTTCATTAGCATGATCAGCACGACACATACTCGGTGTACTACTTTGCATGGTCAGGATTTCTTGCTTACGTAAGTTATTTTTAGCTATAGCAATCCAATTGCCCGCGGATATGGTAATCTGCTGTTATTGGAACCATACATGTTGCCTCTTTTAATTTTTTGTTGTCGAACTATGATCAAGATTTTCAACATGACAATCAGCATGTTATATATCAGACATGGATCCTTATTATGTGCATGTAAATGTGCAGAGTTGAATCTCCTGATAGATCTTTACAAGGAGGTGATGGAAGAAACAGTAAACCCAGAGGTGGCTAAGGATGCATCCGGAGCCCAGAATTCTTCAGTGGATATCATGGATGAAGATAAGCCTAGTGAGCAACAGAACGACATGAAACCTCCTCCCGAGAGTGGGGCCTCTGTGAAGCCTGAAGGCAATTCATCTGAGAAACAGGAAGCTGAAGATGATGCGGTCCAAGGGACAGGCACATATGTCGTAGGAGGTTCAGCATTTGGCTGGAACTTCATAACATACACCAGCGGGAAGGCCATCTATTATGGACGAACCAAAGAGTCCTTCCGATCTTCATATGTTAAATCTGAATGAAGTAAAGTTCAATTTTACTCTCTATTTTAGGGATTAGAATTGCTTGATGTGTGTACTATTATAGATTCGGATGTTTGGTTAGTTTTACGACCTCTTTTCCACCCTCCTCTATCTTGTATGTATCGCGACTATTGAGTATAACTGCTTGCATCGTCTAAAACTCTTAAAATTTCTACCAGGATCCACCTATGTACTTGACAGACAATCTCTTTATTTGAGCATGACATAACATGTGAAGAAACCTACATATCTATAGCAATCTCTTTAAGGTGTATATTGTTATATGTCATCTTTGGCCTTGACTTGTTGATTTTGGACAATGACACATTGGAATATTATCTAGCAAATCATTGTATAACAAAAAATAGTTAACCTCTCAAACATGTTTACAAACTAGACACCAAGTCTAAAGGGGAGAAAATGAAGTTTTTGTAATCAAAAGTATAACAAGACTTTTGATCACATGAATATTCTTGGATTTCAAATGCAAAAACCTTTTTCAAAATTTTCAAAAAAACACAAACAATTAGTAATCAATTACATTAAGTGCATAATTAGGGGTTGATCAAGATTGCTCATTTTCATCATTAGGTTCCTTCTCATCTGCCTTGTCATGATCATTTGCCTTGTCTTCCTCATTAGCAGGCTTGTCGTCGTCGTCATTGTTGTTATTATTATTATTATTATCATCATCATCAACAGGTGTTACAGTACTCTTCTTGTTAGTAGTAGCCTTGAGGACATGTTGGTAACTTCCTTTCTCCATGAAAAGTTGAGCAAAATGGTGCTTGCAATAAAGGACTCCATCAAGTGCAGCATATGTTGCATGAGTCAAGGCACAACCTCCATGAGCACACTTGAAGCATGATTTGTGAAATGCTTCTCCCTCCAATATTACCTATATATCAATCATTACACTGACGAAATCATGATTTTCACTTAGAGTGTTTCGAAAATGAAAAGTAAACACATAAACAAGTCAAGAGGATTCAACAACTACAATAAATAAACAATGTAATTAATGTTCTCTCGAAAGGGTCAACTGACCTTACCTGGCTTCGCCCCTGAATTATCATTATATTACGAGACAGAAAAACATTAATCATGTTGATAAAGTTTGTTTGGTATTATAAGGGTCATTTTTCAAAAATTAACATGATTACTTTTACCTACATGATATCAATTATAATAGCGTCGGAGTCATGATTTTTACTAATAGTGTTCAAAATATAAATAGTAAACACATGAACAAGTCAAAGGGGTTCAATATATCAACTATATATTAATAAAAAAAATCAAGTTACATCATGAATAAATATTGTAATTCATTTCCTACGAATAATTTTACCTGACTTCGCCCCTGAATTCATTATATTATGAGAGAAAAAAGAATATAAGTTCTGTTTGGTACGATTAAAATCATTTTTTTTTTAAAAAAGTTAATACCTTTTCAAGAGGGTAAACAGTTTTGCTGCAAGCAGCACATTTGTCTTGGGTTCCAGAGAACATTGCAGAGACTTTGCTTGGAGCCTTTGCCTACACAAAATATTAAGGCATTTAACTATTTGGAGGATTGAAGTAAATAATACTACTGTACTGTACCGTGTACTATCTAACTCAATTTATGTGACACATTTAGTTTGTCTGGAAAAAAAATCATATTTTTATAATTAGAAAAAATCAACTTTTAAATTCTATTTTTTCTTAATAAAATGATTTACGATCAGACAAATGTCAAGACTTGTTTTAGACTATAACATTTCAATCATTTTTTTTTTTAAAAAAAAATCTATCTCAAGTCAAATAGTATCACAAAAATTAGTTCCAAACAATTTAATATTGATTATATACATATCTATATGATCAATTTTCACCATATTTTCGTTATTTGATCAAATTAATATTTAAAAAAAACAGAGAAATGTGTGTCAGTGTGTGTCCAATAACGTACCAGAGAACTTTCCTTTTCAGACTTGGCTGCATAAATTATAAAAAATAAGGTTAAAACTAATAGCAGTTGCATAATATAATTAATAAAATAAATTAAGTAAGGGTTGTGGTGAAGTGAAAAGTAGTCTCTCATTGTTAATCAGAGATTCAGAGTTCTCGAACTTGAGTTTAGATAACGCTTTAGTGGGACTTCTCGATAATAATAAACTAAGTATAAGAAAAGGCAAGATGTCTTACAAGAAGTCTGAAAGTTTTTGCTAAAATTTCCAGATTCCTTAAAAAGTTGTTCGAAATGTGGCTTGCAATAGAGGACTCCATCCATAGAGGAATAATTGCTCATCTACATGACAAAAACATCACCATGAGTACAGAGGTGAAGCTAGAATTTCAATTGTACGAGTTTTGAATTTTATTATGATGATTTTAAGAGATAATAACTTGATTTTAAATTTAATATTTTTAAATATTTAATAAGTTTATTAGCACTGAATCGGTTAAACGTCCCACATACAAAATACTAGCTCAGTCCCTGACAATGACATAAATGATGGTGACTTTGAACTGAGCACTGATCTGTGTATTATCATACATATGGAAATATTTATGACCACTAAAACATGCTTTTATTTATTTAATTATATTTATTTATCGGAGCAAATTAAAGCTCATATTAAAACAAAAGCTTATTAGAGGGCAAGAAAGCTAGAGATTAAAAAAAAAGACAATATCATCTTTATCACAAGTAGAGCAAAAAAAAAAGTAGAAAAAGAAAAAGATAATCAAAGGTGTAACTTGTTACTTCGTTTCGATTTATCTTGCTTTCTCTTTCTCGTGACATGTTAACAATCACGTGATTCAGAAGTGTTTATACATAACTCTATGCACGTAAAGTTAGAATCTGATAAACAAATTAAAACGAAAAACATATATATATATACCACAAGAGTGCCTTTGCAATGGCTACATTTGAAGCATGACTTATGAAAAGTAGCTCCATCAGCAGATAACAAATCAACAAAGTAAACTGTCTTATCACAAGCTTTGCATTTATCCAATGTCCCTGTGAATGCCATTTCCTTTTTATTTTATTTATTTTTTAAAATAAAAAAAATTCTTGAAACTCAAATCTCAATAATAAAAACTTTTTCTGAATGAGAAATGGCTAAGAAAAAAATTTCAAGGATCCTATTTTTCCTACTTATATCTTCTTAGTCATTGAGATTAAACAAACAAACAAACTATTCACTAATTTTTTTTCTATTGGAAAATAATTAATTCAATTTTACTTAGTTCACATAAAAACATGACACATGTTTGGGAGATCCACTTCATAGGAGGTGAAATTGATGGAACTTATTTGAACTCTAAAAGAATGTGGATATAATTCTCTTTAATTGGAGTGAAATGAGGCCCTTTTTCAACTCTTCACCATGAGAAAATTTTATTATTTTTCCTCCTTAATACCATACCTATAATGTCTCTTTCATCATTTTGTGTACTATTCTGATAATTTACATCCTACGTAGTATATTTATCTGCGAAAGAAATATTAATGATAAAGTAAAATAAAATAAGGTCTTAGTTTTTTATACTATTTTAAATTGTTCAATTTCTTATTTTTTACAAACTATTAGAGCTTGACTTACCATAGGATTAATTTCTTGACAATAATTAGTCTTACTTAATTAGATGATTAAAGATATTATAAATTTACGAGTTAATTAAGAAACACTAATGACTGATAATATTATTTGAAGATAGAATTTGATTAATCCCTTGTATGTGTTGTGAATTTATAAAGCATGTGACTGATAATTGGTGGGATGACAATGCTTGTATGAGTAATACTATTTTTGCTATGCTTTTTTTCGGGTGTATGTATGTTTCAGGTTGATTATGTGTTGGTTGGGATGACAATTATTTAGCAAAAATAATGTATATATGAGTTCAGTGTATTAATAGTTTCTTATTTGGTATATTTTTCATTTTATGTATAATTAATGTTTGCATTAGTTATAAACTCTATTGTGTATTGAGAAGTGTATTATTAATATCGTGGATTTTTTAGTATTAGTAATGCAAAGAGATTTAATACATACATTTGCATAATTAAAGATCATATTACCCCTCAAAAGTATGTTTACATCTTTTCCATCACAATTGTAAAGGATATTTTTGTAAATAAATATTTGTATACAATCATACTATTTTCATACATCAAGCCAAATATATATATATATATATATATATATATATATATCAATTAAACAAAATCATCAGCATTAATGATGTCAATACAGTATATTATATTGATTTAGTATCATTTAAACGAAATTATCAATCTTAATAATACTAATACAATATAGGATACTGATTTAGCATCAACCAAGAAAAAATAATTAGTGAGCATGTAGTGCAATTATGTAACATCTCGTAACTTGAATTAACTAAGAATACACTAAGAAACCAACAATAATCAATTTTGGGAGTAAGTACGGAAATCTGGAAAATTTCCAACTTTCAAAAGTGAGTTTTGGTCATTTTCAAACGGTCATATATTTCAGCTCGGGAGGAGTTTGGATGAGTTCTTTATATGATGGAAATTCATCGGGAAAATCTTTCTAAAGCCGCCAAATTTGCGAACATTTGATGTCGTATGAGGGATATATGTCTTTCAAAAGTTGGGGTGTTAGACTGAGAAAAATTCAATCCGAATTTTAGTAAGGGCAAAGTTGTCTTTTCACCCTAGTATTACCTAATTCATTTTAAGGGTAATTTAGGGGTAAAAATTCAAGTCCCAATCAATTTTACAAAAATTAAGAACGCTTAGGCTTGAGAGGAAAGAGAAAAGAAGAGGAAGATCAAGAATTGTCCAAGAAACGCATAAATCGTTGCATGAATTTCGTCAAGGGTGATCCCTATCGAGGTATGTGAGATTATTCGGTGTTGGGTCCTTTCACCCACACCACAGTTTGATTCACTACAGCAAATTAGAGTTTATTTGAATGAAAATCATGAAGTTCTTGACGAAAGCTTGTGAAGTTCTTGTTGGTTGAATTGTAGTTGATTTATAGTAGGTTTGTTTCATATTTCCGGATTGTTTTCGGATATAATCTATTGGCTAATGAGTTATTTATCGATCCCAAGTGTTTGGGGTGGAATCCATGGAAGTTTAGGAGGTTTAGAGATGAAAAACGGAGAAGAAAAATTGGAGGTCCTGTCAGATAGCCCTTGGGGGGCCGCACCTGCCTAAGCCCCTCAGGGCAGGCTTTGTCTAACAGACGCTGGCGGGCCACCCCAGCCATAGAGCCCCAGACCAGGGTCTGTCCGACAGGCCCTGACGCCTAGAGATCCCATTCTTCCCTATCTTTCCGTACTAGTTCCTAAGTGATGTACCTATCATTCCTAGCCGATTCCAACATTCTAAAGTATAAATATCATGAAATCATCCATAAACACGAGATCATGATCCTTGAATCTATAATCCTCAAGGAAAGTTAAGATTAAAGTCAAGGGAGTTAAGAGTCAAGTCTAAAAGTTTAGAAGCAAGTCAAAGTAAGCTCCTAAAGCATTCAAGAGTCTTAAACAAACGTTTTAACTTTGTTTTAAGGTTCATGTAAAGAGTTGAGTTGAGTTAAATTCTCAAATGTTATAAGGAAACTATCGAGTAAGCAAAAAGCATAAAGTTGAGTTCATTTCTTAAGAGTTACAAGGGAACTAAGTAGTCCTTCAGAGCTTAAACTAAAATGTTTTCAAACTTTTGAGAAAGAAAGGAAGCTAGACTTCCATAGAGCCTATGGCTAGTTTTAATAGAAGAAAGAAGAAACTATGATTTCCATGAGAACTTTTTAAAAAGTAAGTTTTGAGCACTAAATCCAGATCACAGAATCAGTATGCTTTTGAAAACATAAGAGCCAGTATGTATATATTTTGGGAGTAGTATTGAGCAGCGATGTGAGGATGCCAGTTCAGATTAACTCAAGTCTCCATGTAAACCATGTAGTCATCATGGGTAGAAAAGGGTCATACTTTTTAGATGAGCCCTCTTCATATTTTACTAGTGGATCCATTAGGCAGTTCAGGTCCTATACTTTGGCAAGGTTAGGATGGCCGGGCAGCGTGGCTTGAGTAACGTTATATCATCACTATAACTCTTAACTGATGGTTGTCGATTAGAAAAGCTCCCGTAGAAGTATTGTACTTTCATATACATCAGTTATTTATATTTTGACATACATCTCAGATATTATTATATACTTGTATACATTCAAAGTTGATAATATATTTTCAGTCAGCATTTCTTTATATTGCAATTACTTTTACACTGCGTATATTGAATAAGAGTTAATAGATCATGAGTTAAGTAGAGCCAAGGTAAGTGTTCTTTCTTACTTCTTTTCAAGCTTAAGTGTGTTTAGCATTTCAACTCGCATACTCGTATAATCAATGTACTGATGCCAGTTGACCTGCATCGTTTTATGATGCAGACGCAGGTAAGCAGGATCAGCACGCATCCTTTGATCCTGTTGAACACTCCATAGTCACTTGGTGAGCATCCTTGCATTCCGGATGACATACCTTTTATTGCTTTTCTAGCTTAGATCATTAGGATGTTGTGGGGTCTGTCCCAACATCCATCTTATTCAGTTTAGAGGATTCGTGGACAGTTAGTAGTTCAGTAGTATTTTCATTTTCATTTTATGTTAAAGACTTTATTTGCCATTTTGGCCAGTTTGAATGTTTAAGATTTTTAAAAACATTCCAAATAGTATTTCTATTCAGTTCAGTTAAGTTCTTTCATTCTTACAAATATGATTGTTGTCTTCCACTGAGTTAAGTAAGTCAGGTCAAGGGTTTGCTCGAGGTCAGCAATGATCACCGAATGTTAGTCCGCCCAGGGTGTAGTCTCGGAGCTTGACAAATTATTTAATAGGGTATTAATGTAAAAGAGTATATATTTATAATTACTTACTTTTATGGGATATTTGCTTAATCTTCCCAAAATTTATTTTATCTCTATGAAACAAAGAAACCCAACAGTACTAAAAACTTAAAGAGCATTGGCTGATAAATGTATTTCGAGAGTTTCATTAGTCGTGTTCCTTCACCTTTTCGTGGCCTAAGCTCTTAGTTGATAATTGTAAACACATAGAGTTTGTTAGGCTAAATTCATATAAAATGTAGACCGAATACATGTTTGTTTGAGTTGAATGGTTTATTTTTAAAATACACAATTTTATAAGTCTATTTACTTAATTTAAGCCTATGATTTATTAATCTTGATGACTCAAATTCATAACACCTGTTAAAGCGATGTGATAATATATTCAAATTTGGCCAATAGGATCAATGCTAACAAATTGCTTGATGTCTGATAGGAACCAATCGAAATAAGGCAAGATAATTCATTTACATTTGGATTGTCTACTTGCTCCACCTATAGATAAGACTGTTAGGTTTTATTTGCCCTGATTTCTTACCATAAATAGGTTTTCCTCTTAGGAAAAGGTTTTGAATTGACTAATCCTTTTTTGGTAGAAAAAGGTTTAGGACTCTATAAATAGAGGCATGTTCCTTCTAACTTAATCAACATTCACAATGTAGTCTTAAGGGCTTTGAGAGTTTTGGTTAGAGGGAGAATTTGTGGTTCACAAGCTTGATATGTTATCACTTGTGTGAACCTCCCATGTATTATGAGTGAATTGGTTGAGGTTGTTTCCCTCTGTATTTTGTAGTCTCATATTTATAGTGGATTGCTCATCTCCTTTGTGGTCGTAGGTCGATTGACCAAACCACGTTAAATCTTTGTGTCTTTTAGTATATTTCTTGTTGTCTTCTTACTCGTGGTCTTTCGAGGTTTGCTTTGCTATCTTCCGCATTTACACCTGCTTATTTTTTGTCCTAACAAGTGGTATCAGAGACAAATTCAATGATGGAGTCAGGTTTAGTGGTTCGATAATCGATGATTGAACCAGAGTTAGAAAGAGGTGTTCATCTTGACAAGTGTAGTTCTAGACGTAACTTTTTTGACAATAATGAAGATTCTGTTGGAGAAATTGTTTCAGAGAGATTCTCTGTGTTGAGACACATATTTTGCAAAGGAGATTATGGAGAGGAGAAACAAGTTGTTGAAGATTAAGTGAAGAAGGTGGACAAATTTATTTTGTCAAAAATTCAGTCCAAGGGGGAGATTTGTTGGGTTTTATTTCCCCTGATTTCTTACCATAAATAGGTTTTCCTCTTAGGAAAAGGTTTTGAGTTGACTAATCCTTTTTTGGTAGGAAAAGGTTTAGGACTCTATAAATAGAGACATGTTCCTTCTAACTTAATCAACATTCACAATGTAGTCTTAAGGGCTTTGAGAGTTTTGGTTAGAGGGAGAATTTGTGGTTCACAAGCTTGATACGTTATCACTTGTGTGAACCTCCCATGTATTCTGAGTGAATTGGTTGAGGTTGTTTCCCTCTGTATTTTGTACTCTCATATTTATAGTGGATTGCTCATCTCCTTTGTGGACGTAGGTCGATTGACCGAACCACGCTAAATCTTTGTGTCTTTTAGTATATTTCTTGTTGTCTTCTTACTCGTGGTCTTTCGAGGTTTGCTTTGCTAGCTTCCGCATTTACACCTTGCTTATTTTCAATCCTAACAAAGACATTACATATAATTCAAATTCATAACACGTGTTAAAGCGATGTCATAATACATTCAAATTTGGCCAACAAGATCAATGCTAACAAATTTATTGATGTCTAAAAGTAACCAATCAAAGTAAGGCAAGAGAATTCATTTACATTTGAACAGTCTACTTGCTCCATCCATAAATAAGAGATGACATAAGACCAAAATTCATAACATATGTTTAAGCAATGTGATAATACATTCAAATTTGGACAATAAGATCAATGCTAACAAATTGTTTGATGCCTGACAGTTACAATCAGAATAAGACAATACAATTCATTTATATGTGGATTGTCTACTTGATCCATCTTTAAATAAGAGATTACATATGACCCAAATTTAGAACACATGTTAAAGCGATGTGATAATACATCAAAATTTGACGAATAGGATCAGTTCTAACAAATTGCTTAATATTTGACAGAAACTAATCAAAATAAGGCAAGAGAATTCATTTACATTTGGATTATCTACTTGCTTCATCTATAAATAATATATTATATATGACTCAAATTCATACCACGTGTTATAGCGATGGGATAGTATATCCAAATTTGGCCAATAAGATCAATGCTAAAAAATTGTTTGTTGTCTGACAAGAACCAAAGAGAATTCATTTACATTTGGACTGTCTACTTTCTCCATCTATAAATAAGATACTACGTATGACTCCAATTCATAACACGTGTTAAAACGAATGTGATAATACATTTAAATTTGGTCAATAGGATCAATGCTAAAAAAAAATTGTGTAATGTCTGACAGGAACCAATCAAAATAAGACAAGACAATTCATTTACATTTGAACTGCCTACTTGTTATATATCTATAAATAAGAGACTACATAGCTTTCTGAGGACATTCAACAATTTTTACAAAACACATTAATTAAAATCGACTTTATAGCTCTTCAAAAGAGGAATACTTAGCGTTCTACCTTGATATCAACCTGAAACAACAAGGTGTTCACCAATGTAAACAAAAAAATTATGGAAGAACGAAAGGAGAGAAGGCTACGTATAAAATGGACGCCGAATGTTAACAAGAAATTCAATGAAGCTATTCGCAGATTAGGAGAAAAAGGTATGTATTTCTTAGAATACTTTCTTCTTAATTTAGTCTTTTACTATTCAATCTTTATCTTTCGTTGATGTAGCTACTGCTATACCGATCTTGGAGTACATGAATGTGCCACAATTGACTCGCAAACAAGTTGAGAATCGTCTACAGCAATACAGAGTACATCAACTAGCTCAACATGCTTCTTCTTCTTCTTCTCTAGTTCTAGCTAATCCTCCTAATGTACTAAATTCGCATGATGAACTTCAACACACATGCAACAATACCTTCTTTAGTTCCACCAGATGAGTTCCTTACAGGATCGGATGACTTGATTCAAAATCTTGAATTCGACCTCTATTCCAAAATAAGCGAAAATCAGATTGACACTTATCAAAGTGAACCTCATCTCAACATGTTCAATCACATCCAGGACAATAGCGAGTTTCATATAAGTTTCAATAAACGGATTCAACAAGGACACTTATCTCAACCCCCTCCATTACCTTCTCTAGTTCCAACAAGTAATTTCTTCGCAGGGTTGAATGACTGGAACCAAGATGTAGGACTCAACTATTTCACTGACAACATGATTGAAAATCAAACTATCACTTGTTTCAATACAGATTTGGTAAATCATTCGAATGTATTGAAAACGAAGGATCTAACTATGAACTTCAGTGAACCACATCAAGATGCATATTTACCTCAACCACTTGTCATTCCACCAAATGATTTGTTCACAAGCTTGGAAGATCCATTTGCTAGCTGCCCAACTCAAGATAATATCTCCATAAGATTAGTATCAACATACAAACAACACAAATACTTCCTTTGTTTCACAAATAATGGTCTAATTTGACTTGACACGGAGTTTAAGAAAATAAAGAAGATTTTTGATCATAATAGGGTCATAAACTAAAGTTATATCAAATGTACAAAATTGTTCTTTAATCTTGTAGCATTAAACATGTCATATGGAAAGTTGTTACCAGAAAAAGAAAGTGTTCATTCTTTTTTAAACAGACTAAAAAAAGATCATTAGTTTTAAACGGAGAAAGTACTTTAATTTATGATTAATTTTATCAATTTATAATATTGTATATTGTTGCCAACAGGAATCAGAATCCTTGACATACACAACAGCATTACTGGAGCACTTTTGAGGAATTTTTATTTGCGAAAATGGAATGCAATGGAGAAAAATGTTTGATAATTTTTCATTCTTCTATTTTATATACCATTTGGAACTCAAAATATCTTTATCTTTAATGTTTTATTATGTGTACTCATACATTTTTTTATAAAAAAAAAAATCATTCGATTTCCTTCTATTAATTTGTGCATATATATGGAGTTTTAAAGATTTGAATATTTTATTATAAAAATATAATGATTTGAAAACTTTAATTCTTCGTTTTAATTTCTAATCTTTTACATATTTAAAAATTACATTAAAAAAAGCTTAAAATCTCAATGTAACAATTCAAGATATTTTTAGCAAAACATAATTAAAAATCGTAACGAAATTGGCTGATTCCCTTATTTTTATCGAAACAAAAGAAAATTGCATATATTGTTTGAAAATGACGTAAGAACTAAAAAGTACTATAAACCACAGTAAAATGACAATTAAAAATATGTGAGAATCATATAAGAAATTCTGTTGGTTTTCCTAAAATCACTTGTATCATATAAAATGAAAGAGATGGAGTAACATATATTACTTTTTCAAATTTCATTTGTATCGCATAAATTCAAAGAAAAAACTAACATACGTTGGATCCGCATTGGCGTGAACACCTAATATCTAGTATATAAAGGCTAACCATAGACAAGGTGATGTGACACCTCTCTATGACCTCCATTTACATTTAGCTTTTTCCTTTTTTTTTGGATTTTTCAAAAGAATAAATTAATTATTATAAAAAAAATTACTTAAATTTATTACAAATATATATATATATATATATATAAAGCTGGATATAGAAAATCTGATGTGGCACCTCTCTATGGCCAGCATTTCTATTTATGTTTTATTTCATTTTTATTTGTAATTTTTATTAACAAAAAACTGGAAAAAAATATTTAATGCATTACATCATGCTCCTTTAAAACTTTCATCATACTAATACACATTTAAGTAAGGCATCATACATATATTTACCCTTAAACTTGGCTTTAAATTTTAAGTATGACCTCAAATTTTTATAGTGCACAAATAGGCACATTAACTTTCCTATTTTTTTTTATAAATACACACGCGAATTCTACATGGCAAAACGCGTGTTATGCACGTTTTCTGCGCGAGTTATGACTATTTTCGAGGCCCACAACGGTAAAAAAAATAGAAATGACAAATATACCCTTAATGAATTCCCTTTATATATATCTTTATACCAAATTAAAATCTAATTTCTCTTTCCTCCTCTTTCAAATCAAAAATTTTTTCCCTCTCTTTAGAACAACTTGTGCTCATATTTTGTGCAAATGACTTCTAATTTTTTTTCTCATTGTGGAAAAAGAGCTATAATGAAGATTTCTTGGTCTGTAAACAATCCAGGTCGTTGGTTTCTTGGATGTGAAGATGGTCGGGTAAGGTTCCGTTTAAAACATATTTTTTTGTTTAAATTTTAGTTCTCAAGATTCAATTTTGATAGTGAATTTGTTCTTCTTAAACAAGTTGGATGCAATTTTTTTAGGTAATGTGAACTTGATTATACTGAACACGCTAGAATTGCTATTTCGGGATTACAAAAGAGGATAAAAACATGATGAAGAAAAGGAAAAGATTAGGAGAAAATATCGACTTTTGCTGATCATTGTGATACTATCTTGGATTTATAGAGAGTTCTTTATGTAGTAAATGTTAGATATACTGGTTGAAAAAATTATGCCAAAATTGTTATGTATAGCTTTCTTTATGGGTTAGGGGTTGTTAATATGTATTTTAAGCAATCAAAGTAATGGATTGGAATGCACTACTTTAAAGTTGACAGTTTGTCTCCAACATTGGCTTTAATATTCATCACTTTTACAATCGAATAGCATTATTCACACACTTTCATACTAGCATGATTCACACACTTTCATGCATAGTAAACACCTAACATCAAGGCAGCCTTAATATCAATCATAACAAACACCAAAAGGCTTCACAAAACACAACTTAATATCCATTAAACACAACTTAACAAACTCCAAATATTTGTCTATGCAAACATACATCAAAATAACCCAAAATACATCAAAATGATCAGTAATTGGAGTAGACCTTTACAAACAGTTACCAAAATAAACAAAAACAAAGACCTCCTAGATCAACATTTATATACATCAGTAAGACTTTGACCTCTTATGGAACCCACTTTCCCTTGGATTTGCTTTGCACCTTTTTCTTTGACAATTGTTGAAGTTGATTTCCAGTCATTGCATCTTTTCCTTTCCATTTTAAACTAGGTGGCTTGAATCCAAGATCAATTTGTTTGTGATGCATCTTTAAATGCTACCCCTGTTCCACTTGAGATAACTCTTTCACTTGATCTTCCGGGCTGCATAATTCATAGGGCATTATTTAGTATACCTAAATAAAGATGTAAGAAAATCAATTAAAAAAGGCAATATACATAAGTTAATCACTTGTCTTTCAGATTGTATATCTGTGTAAACACCAAATCACACATCCTTGTTCTTTTCTTTCCAACTGAAGCAGCTGGTTGCATTCCAACTAAAGAAGTGGTGGCTTTCCAACTAAAGAAGGTGGTGGCATTCCAACTAAAGAAGATGATGTCCATGCAGTTGAAGAATATGTTGCCCTTGCAGTTGATTTCTTCTTTTAACCTTTGAAGTATCTACACATAAAGAAGAGGCATTGATATACCGTGGTTTCACGGTATAATTAATACTTTTTCCTTAAGTTTAGTGTGTCCGAAAGCCCTTTTTGTGCTAATTTTGATATAAGTTTCTTTTTGTTTTGCAGGAAATCTGTCCAAAGCTGAATGCGGAGATTTTGAGCGAAAAATGCAGAAGAGACCACCTACGGAGCTTATGACGATCCGTCGTGCATGTGACAGTCCGTAGGTGGCAGCGTAGAGAAGCTGCTGAAGGAAGATGGGGAAGTCTGACCAAGTGTGGGATTACGAAGCTTGTGACGGTCCGTCATGGCTATGACGGTCCGTCCTGCAGGTTCGTCGTGAAGATCAGAGAAGTGATCCCAGTACCCAGATTCCAAGAGTTGAAGTATTTTGAAACGATACCCTCGACGGACCGTTGTGCCTATGACGGTCCATCACACTTGCCGTCGAGGGGAATGAAGAAAGCAGCAGAAGAATTGCACCAAGTATGGGACAACGGAGTTCACAACGGTCCGTCATGACCACGACGGTCCGTCGCGTGGTCCGTCGACCCAGCCGCGTGTTGGCAGATTTTCAGTAATTAGAATCCTTGTTTAATTAGGTTTTTATTTTTTTATAAATAGTTCGAAAAACCTCGTTTTTGAGGTTAGACTCTGGGAGATTAGACATCATATTATTTAGACTTTGTGTATTAGTGTTTGATTTTTGAGAGATTCTTACAAGTGATTTTTGGTGATTAATCAAGCAATTTTTCGGACTTTACTCTTTCTCATTGAAGTAAGTACATGAATTCTTATTTAATATATTTGAATATTGAATTTATGGATATGAGGAACTAAACTCCATAACTAGGGTTGTGGGAACCATAGACAAATAATGAGATAAACCCTAGCTAAAATAACAATTCTAGAATAGTGTCTTGCATGTATTAATAATTCTTTCGCTTAGAAGTCTTTTTAACGGATGATCAACGTAAGAACTCGCCTTAATGCTACTTGACGGACCAAGGAGGTAGATAATAGGAAAAGAATTATTAACATAG